GCAAGTATGGATGACTTTAAATACATTTAAAATGTAATATAACAAATAAAAATTGTAGTATGAATGTAATTCCAAATCCAAAGCAGAATATGAGAAATTACTATTATGATGCTTATCAAAATGTGTTGCTACATGGTACGATTTCTTTTATAATCACTTTTTTTTTAAATTCTTATTAAATGCCAGAAAAAAGTTGTGATTCTTTAATAATCAGAAATCGAGCTTCATAATCAATTCCAATGAGATATTAAAGGTGTCAAAATGTGCTAGTTAGCAAGATTCGAGTGACCTAATACGGGCTTTGCCGTGTGCTAGCTCGCCCTAGGAGTGGGGTCATTCCAAGAATAATTGCAGCGACTTAGCCTGTATTTAAGAATAAAAAATAAAAGAAGATTTAAACAAAAAATATTAGAGTATATAGGTCTAGTGGCCTAACAAGGGTGTCATACATATAGAGCCCGTTTTGTAAGTATTAAAATGAAAAAAAAGGGGAACAATACATTTGTAAGGTATTTATTTTACACCATTTCAAAAATACAAAAACAAGTATCAAATTTCACAAATCAAGTTTTTTAATTTTTTATTTATGAANCACATTTTCAAAAATACAAAAACAAGTTTCAAATTTCACAAATCAGGTTTTTTAATTTTTTATTTATGAAATAATGAATTATTAAATCAATTTATTATTAAATATTTAATTCTAATATAATATAATTACCCCACCCCACCTCCACCTCCCCTATCGCTCCAGGGGACTATTTCGGCTACCGTTTCGATCACAACCGATCTCCGGCGACCGTTCCGACGACTGCTCCGATTCCAACAATTATTCCGATGACCGTTCTACCGCCACTTTTGAAAAGTTTGAGATCGTTTGTATCACAAATAAAATATTTGAGTAAAATTTGAGACAAAATGCAAGGATTCTGGCATGTTAGAATTATGGTCTGACCCAAATTCTATTTGAAAGAATATTTGGAAATTCTATTTGAAATTTATTTGGGAAGTTCTAGTTCAAATTCAATTTAGGAGTTCAATTGGAAGTTTGGAATTTGTGTTGAATTTAAAGAAGACTCAAAGGAGTCTTAAGTTGTAATTTGAGAATGAAACGTCGAATGTCGAATTGGTGCTCGGGGCTCCTTGATCACACTCGAGCGTACAAAATAGGAGCTCCAGCGCCCGTTTACCGCGAGGCGGCCGCTCGAGCAATCAGCTGTCGCTCAACAGTTGCAAGAATTTAGACGAGGTTTTAATTCCAATTTTTGGTAGGTTTTTGACTCATAATTAATCCTAAATATTCCATTATTGGTTTTACCTACGGTATTGGGATTTTACTTTATATTAGACTTTTAATTGTATTATATTTTCCTAGTGTTAGGAATCTTAGTATTATATATATGTGAGTACTATACATATTGAAATAATCCATGCATTGTACACAATAATTTATAATTCTCCATTAATGATATTAATAAATTCTCCTTGTGGTATAGTTTTACCACGTAAATTTTGTGTTCTTATTTGATTTTCATATTGTCACATTATACTCGTTCCTTTATTTATTAACATCCAAACATAAATCTAGAGACTAATGCTTTTTTGAACTTGAAGACTCAAAGTAGTGTTGCTATGAGATCTGTAAAGGATGATTTCGCCGGAGACCGAAGATGACAATTAA